ACGCATGGACGGTCTTGAGTATAGAGAGGCTATATATTCGCATCTATATCCCTGGGGTCGGAGAGGATCTGTGCCTCTTCTTCCCCTTGGCCCCTTATTATTATTATTATTATTATTATTATTATTATATATGTAAATCAGGAAACAAGATCAGTTAAACCTCAGCGCTCCTTTAGTCTTATCCATATTTCAAGAGCATATGTCCCAGTAATTTAAAAATTCGATCATCATAGCCTAAACAACTAAGACTGGGGATTTCATTTATTATGTTACCTTTCAATAAAATGGTTTAGAAGTGCTAACAGACTGTGTACATGCAGAGAAAACATGACAAAATATTTCATTACACAAACCCAACAAAATATATTTGTATATTTTGAAATAAGATCATGGTCTTCTGCCCTGAAGATGGAGGCCACAGTTCCTCCAGAACACTGGTACCTGTCTACCAAACTAAAGAGCATCACATCCCAAAACAACCATTGTCCTCATATTTGCTGCTGTGAGAGCCTCAAATCTGACATTTGGAAATAGGTTTAACTATTTTGCTATCAACCAAATTTACTTTCCTTCTTCTTTAATAATCATGGGTGGATTCACCAGGCTTATGTCGGTAGCTTAAACAGTTTCTAAAATGTGAGTTGATCAAAGCACTTATTACCTTTTGTTTTATATGTATATAGTCTCGACACTGGCAGCATTATTAACAGCCAATCAACCAACCCAACACAATTTTACTAAAACAGTGACTATGAACTTACCTACATAATGTCATTTACTACCAACCATTTTGTTGTAGAATTTATATTTTACACAATGCATCAATATAAACATAAGATATATAACTTTTTTTATTGCTATTAGGGTGGGACTAAGTCCCTTGTACTGCGGCCACTTCTGGCCTATTGTACCAGCCCCAGATGATAGGTGAGGGTGATTGTGGAGCAGCTGGTGGAATGAAGATTGGCAGGTGAAACCGAAGTACTCGGAGAAAACCTGTCCCAGAGTCACTTTGTCCACCACAAATCCCACTTGGCGAGACCTGGGATCAAACCTGGGCCGCCACAGTGGGAAGCCAGCGACTAACCGCTTGAGCTATGACATGACCTAAGATATATAACTTGGTTTAATCTATTTAATTTAACCTGACATAACATAACCTAACCTAACCTAACCTCTCACCAACATTGGTTTGTTGTAGAATATTTATATCCAAATATGAGAGAACGTTATCACTTCACTAGTACAACTACAGACTCTGCTGGTAGTGTGTAGCTGCATCAAAAACACTCACAAAACAAGAGATGCACAATGGTCACTATTTTGTAAATTGTATAGGGCCACATACCATACCTACAAGTATCAATATTGAACACTGCTTCAGTTACTCAAATCTGCATAAGTTTTGGTAAGCCAAATTTTGTAAACATCACTCTGGCCTGATCAGAGTTGCTTCATGCAATCAGACTGCACATGCTGAGAGGCACCACGCAGTTTTATCTTCAATACTGACACACAGCAGCTCTTTTTAAAATAAAAAAATTACACCATTTCAGTTCACTTAAATGAAAAAAACAAACAAACCAGTTTCTTCCATTTATGTACTGTGTAACACTCACATTGCACAGTGGGTTTATATTACATCATTTTCCCTCAGAACATAACCCCTTACATTAAAGACTGATATACCACAGAATTATAGAAATCACTTAAAACATGACAAGTTAACTTGAATTACTATTAGATTAAGACATTTTTATATTATTAAATTTTGGCTGTTAGGATGCACTTACAATGAAAACAACACAATTTTAATTGAAATTTCTTGGCCAAATATGTCACACACCCTCCATCTTATGATACTTCTGGCCTGCAGTATAGTAGATTGGTGTTCAGTGACTTCTGCTTCTGTATGTGGAATGCAGGGTAATTTAACCATGATTCAGCCATGTTATATCAAAAATCCAGGGTAACTTAAATATGCTGGATATGTAATACAAGTTGACTTATTCATGCCTTAATTTTCCTTATTCATAAATTATATAGCCTGCCTAAAACTGTTCTCATGCACAAATCCATACAAATCTCAATAAAGAAACTTTCATTTTTATTTATGTATTCAACCTAATATGTTTTAAAGAACTCCTGACAAAATAAATATTACTTCTGTTTATTCACTCTGAAATTACAGACCTACAAAGAAGAAAATTGTAGGGTCTGCTTAAATATTAGTATGATTTAAATAACTGTCATATGCAAGGTTTTAAATAAAATATTGTATTCTCCAAAGGAAGCATTATTTCATGTATGTAAAAGTATCAGTCTTCTTCACTACAAAAAGGGTCCCCTTAGTTATTCCAACTTGGCGAGTCAGTCTAGCTAAATTCTCACTTTATGGACTGCCCACAGACTCCAGCACTTTCTAATCCTGCACTTCATTTAAAGAAAAGAAAGTGATGCATACATCCAATGATGTTCCAGTACTTGACTTGTAACATTGCTAACCACCTCTAAACACTTCACCTTCTCTCATTTACGTTCCCTTTGTCCTGTAAATTTCAGTTTATAAATGTTGTAATTATTCTGAATTTGGAGGAATGAAGTCATATGTGTAATTTTGTCGTATGTAAGAGGGATAAATTTTAAAAGTGGGAGAAAGGACACCACTGCAACTATTCCAATTGTTACAATTACCAAAGACGTTTTTAATGATCATGATTCACATCCATGTCAACACAGTTTATCACTTACTGGCCCTCAGTTTTTAGCTCTCCTAAGCAAAGACATCAGTGGCCACCAACCTCTACCCCTATTATGTGGTAGGCTGAAATGTTCATAGCAGCTCTCTGGAATACCAAGTGGTTGTATGTGAACAATACAGTATTGAATAAGCAACATTTTCATAATAAATTCATCCTGGAGACAATGCAGACCTAAGTTTTAATGAAAATATTCCACTATATTTTTGTACATACATTTGAAAGTAATCAAGAGAAACTTTCTGAACATGCCAAGTTTATTATGTCTTTCATCATCTAAATATTCATTTGTGGATTTTTATTCTAACTTCTGACTCTGACAAGAAGCAGCACTTAAATAGGTGGTGTTCACAGGATACATCAATTGAAGCCTTGATCATAGTGTTCAATATTGTATTATTTTCATCACGTAAAGTGCAGTGTGATCAGGCCAATCATTATCACATAGTTTCAACAAATGTGATGATATAGGTAGTAAATAATAGTTTGTTGTACGCATACAATATAGAGAGCTGGGCCAGCTCAGTCTACATAGTGACAGGTTACATGCTACAGGCTCCATGACCAGGGTTTGATTCCTGACAGGGGCAAAATTTTTCTATACTACAAAGCATCCAGATCGGCTTTGGGGCCAAGCCAGACTCCAAGAATCTTCCTGGTGGTGAAGGGTGACTGGTGCTTAAGGTTGACAACCTCACTGCCATCTGTGAGCCAACTGTCTACAAAATATAGGCCTCCACGGCCTGTTACAGTGACAGGTTCTTACCTCTTCCTAAAACCTTGCGGATGTTCGAATATTTATTTTATCTTATTAATTTTATATAGTAGTATCTAATCCATATATTTTAAAACAGGCCAAAACACATCCTAAGGACTGCATGAACATTAATTTAACATGGTTTTTAAGGGTGAGGAAGGAACATAAAACAATATTATTATGAAACAGATAACCATTAATAAATGAAAGTCATCTTATACAGAAAAGGTAATTTAGATAAAACTATTGTAACCGTACGCACCCTTCACGGAGGTATCTTATCTGTTTATGCTTAGCAATTGGGTTTGGCTGTGGCAGTGAGATGCCCCGGAGGGTTCATGGTCCTCTGAACTGTCCTTCTGTTGCGAGGGACTGAAGGGAGGTTGGTGAGTCCATTGCATTCAAGGGGGAGTAGGTATACTTTCTTTCGTCCGTGCCTGTGCGGGTAGAGGACCTGTGGATCGAAGCTTCGAGAAACTTCTAGAAGGTGTGCAGACCGGAAGGGGTCCGTGTATTTGGTCATGAAAACCTCCCAGTGGAAAGTTCGAGATGGCTAAGAACGTGGTTTCTGGAAGCAGCAGCGGGGTTAAGGAGGGAGTTAGTGAGTGGAAGCCGAGGGGTCAGGGAGTAGAAGCCAGGTAGTGAGGGTGTTCCTGTGGAACCTGTGCTAGGGGGTTAACCGATCGAGCCCGCATCCAAAAAAACGACGTAAGCGAGCCAACACCCGTGTACCCCTGGGATATAAGACTCATTCCGCTGAATTTAGTCGAGGCATACACCGCGTCGAAGTGAAGCGTGTGGGGACGGGTGTAGTGATGGCGACCAGCGTTTGGGGCCCGAATTGTAGCGGCCGCATATAAACAAAGGACTCTTAACCACGTGCGGCTCGATAAGGATCGGTGCTTCGAACCCAGGAGTGGATCGGTACTTCGAACCCAGGAGTTCAAGATAGCGGCGGCTGGACAAGAAAAGTGACATCGAGCAACGCTGCAGTGTAAAGGACGAACCAGGCAACAGATCGAAAGACTTGCATCGTGAGGACAACCCGATTCATCTAAAGGAGAATCAACCCCGGCGATCTTCAGGTCAGGTTGGTGGAAAGTGAAAGTGACAGAGACAGACTAGGATTGTTAATAATCAGGGAAGGTATGATTACTCGCAGATATTTGAGAAACAAAAGGGTAATTGGAGACAATAGTGAAGAAGGTGAAATGATGGATGAGGAGACGACGCAGTTAGAAGGCGTAATTATAGGTGAGAGTGGGGGAGATTCAGAAGGAGAAATGGACATGCAGTGTGGTCAACCGACAGAAGGGGACACAGGTGGAATCAGTGAGAGTAGGGGAGAACAACTGACGAGTGCTGACAAAAAGGGTAAAGACGACCAAATAGATATGCAAGCAATAATGTCATGTATGAAGGAGATGTTCCGGGAGATTAGAGAGAATAGGAAGGAGAGTGAAGAGATTAGAGAGGAATTTAGGAAGGAGGGTGAAAGGAGAGCAAAGGAATTTAATGAAAGGTTGGAGAACATATTTGTGGTACACAAGCGCGAGATGCTGTCATCCATGAATCAGATCGCGAGTGACGTAGAACTGAGGACAGATCGGAAGATGGAAGCAATGAATAGGGAAATTAGCCTAATAACAGAGAGCACCAACGGACAGTTTCGAGCACTGACCGAGAAAGTGCAGAATGATAAAATTGAAACTACTAACAATTTTGAAATCTTGAGACAGGAAGTGACAGCATCTCACGCTCAGCTGGCTAAGCAGTCTGAGAACAGGTGTGAGAGGGTAAATCAATGCGAGAAACGAGTGGCGGAAATTGAACAGGCTAGCGGACATATTAGCAAGCAGTATGATGTTGTCAGTAAGCAATATGATGAATTGAGGACCCAAGTTGATCTAATGAAAAATCAGAAACGAGTAGAAAGTAAGAATAATTGTGAAGAAGTTCAATGTATGGGGATTAATAACCGCCAATCGGATTCTAGGATTGAAAAGACCCTCTCAAGCTCAGACATTATGATTACTCATGTTAATGAACCGATAAGTAATGAAGTTTCATGTAATGGTTCTAATCCTCACAATGACGTCAATAATCAGGAGAAAGTGTGGAGTGGCAACCCTGGAGAATTTGTCAGAGGGATCCTCAGTCACCCCGTAGATCTCACATTACCAATATTCGAAAACAAACCGGACCAAAACGCCCAGGCGCATTTGAATTCCTTAGGCGAATACATACAAATTAAGAAAATTCCTCCACCGCTTCAGTTAGCTGTAGCGCGACAATCTTTAAAAGGAATTTCAGTCATGACGTGGGCTGATGCTAATTGGGATCAAATTAAAACGTTTGAGGGATTCCGCAGAGCTTTCCTGGACAAATTCTGGAGCCTCTCAGGTCAGGCAAGGGTTCGACTCCGGATCTATCAGGATAGATACGACCCGCGAGGCGCAGCGAACTACTGTGACCATCTTATGAAGTACGCTGTGAAAGCTAAATACCTAGAACCTCCGATGTCCAACCTAGAATTCTTGAATGCCCTCAAAGAACATTATCCCCTCGGGGTAAAGAAGGCCTGGGTAGTAGCAAAACCTCAAACTCTTCAGGAGGCGGCGGCATTCCTTTCTGACGTCGCAGACCTCGAAAACGATCAAGTGGATTTCGAACCAAGGGGACGGAATAATGCGCCTATCCTCAAAAACCCCATTCCATACCTCTGACAAATTCACATGNAAAGAAGGCCTGGGTAGTAGCAAAACCTCAAACTCTTCAGGAGGCGGCGGCATTCCTTTCTGACGTAGCAGACCTCGAAAACGATCAAGTGGATTTCAAACCAAGGGGACGGAATAGTGCGCCTATCTTCTAAAACCTCATTCCATACCCCTGACAAATTCACATGGCGATTGGGTGATGAATTGAAGTCATAATAAGATAATAACTGTTAAGATAGGTATAAGGAATAAACATGATCTGTTGTTATAATGTTAAGAGTGGAGCGTCCCCATGAAGAATGGATGATGATTGGAGGTATGAATGTATGATGAGGAGGGGAAAGGTGAAATCCCCGTAGTGCTTGTGGTTACTCATTTAATCGCAGTATGGTAGCTCTAATAATATCTGTTGAGAACATCAGTGATTTGAGATCAGTTCAGTATAGGGAAGCTAAGTTTATCATCAGATAAGGGAACCGAGTTCTATCCATGTCCTAAAAGTGTATCGTCTGAAGAAGAAAATTACGGAAGATAATATTAAAATAGTATTGTCGAGCGAGTGAGTGGAGAGAGATCAAAGAGTGGAAGGAAGAAGGGAGAGAGACGTTCTAAAAGTGAAATCATCGAAACAAGAATATGAGTGGTGATAGATAAGTGGCCTGAGAGGCGTAAGGAAGAAGTGCTGAAAGTGACGTCGCCGAAAATTGAGTGTAAAGTTAAATGTAGATGTGGCCATTGGCCCTACTGAGGAAATAATAGTTGGTTAGAATTATCAGAAGGCAGGTACGGATAGGAGCATAAGTGAGCTATTGTGATGTAAGCGGAGAGATTCCCGAAGCAAAGACTGTCAATCACTGAGCGTCGAGGCTACCGACCTGATGTAACTGGAGTAATCCTAGGAGAATGATAGGATTATAAGGATTTTCATCTTAGCATGTAAAATTTTATTTGTAACGTGGGGACGGTCCATTATATATGTAAGAAGTCTTGTATTGTTTGAATTTAACTTAAGTGTAATTTAGTACGTGAAGGGCGTACGTGAGAGTGTCATCAAATCAGAGAAACTTCGCTCATCACATGTGTTTCGGAAGTTACCTGATTTGACGGGGGAGTTTGTAACCGTACGCGCCCTTCACAGAGGTATCTTATCTGTTTATGCTTAGCGATTGGGTTTGGCTGTGGCAGTGAGATGCCCCGGAGGGTTCATGGTCCTCTGAACTGTCCTTCTGTTGCGAGGGACTGAAGGGAGGTTGGTGAGTCCATTGCATACAAGGGGGAGTAGGTATACTTTCTTTCGTCCGTGCCTGTGCGGGTAGAGGACCTGTGGATCGAAGCTTCGAGAAACTTCTAGAAGGTGTGCAGACCGGAAGGGGTCCGTGTATTTGGTCATGAAAACCTCCCAGTGGAAAGTTCGAGATGGCTAAGAACGTGGTTTCTGGAAGCAGCAGCGGGGTTAAGGAGGGAGTTAGTGAGTGGAAGCCGAGGGGTCAGGGAGTAGAAGCCAGGTAGTGAGGGTGTTCCTGTGGAACCTGTGCTAGGGGGTTAACCGATCGAGCCCGCATCCAAAAAAACGACGTAAGCGAGCCAACACCCGTGTACCCCTGGGATATAAGACTCATTCCGCTGAATTTAGTCGAGGCATACACCGCGTCGAAATGAAGCGTGTGTGGGGACGGGTGTACTATATTCCATAAATGTAGAATAAAAAGGAAGAAATACTACATTTCTGTTCTGTACATTCAATTTTGAAGTGAAATAAAATAATGCAAATAAAAAATGAAACCCTGTATAGTTTCATGGCATGCCACACATACCGCATGTTGTGCAAGTTTATCCAAGAAGATTGCAACACCGAAAGTGAAGTTCCCTTGATATGCCTCCAGCACAGATCATACTAATGATATTAATACAGCATCACTGACTAGTGTGAAACCGGATAGAGTTACTGCTTTCAGTGATATACACATGATTATTTAAATGTAGTCTTCCACTTTGCCCCTCTCCGTTTGTGGTTTTTATTTAACCATTCATATTTCACTATGTGATCATTAATATCATTCAAGATGTTTTTACCAACACATGGCCTTCATCAGGTATCTACATGAAGTTGCAAGTTGTAGCACTTGTCAATGGGATTTCAATTTACAGTAAAAAATGTATATTTGAAGTTAAAATTTAAGGTTAAAGTTGATATCATGCTGTCTACTTTCTTCAGACCTTAGTTGTTCATTTTTGTGATATATTTTTTCTGTTATTTCTTTTCTTGTCTTATATGTTATTGTTGCATAATAGCTGTGCACCTGAACTTGAGCACAACCACCATCTGATAACACATTAGGAGAGAAGAAAAGCAAAAAATATCACACACATGAACCACTACAACTGTAAGAAAGTGGATGGCATCATGTTAATTTTAAATATGAAAGGCATATCTACTACATTCTTAACTTTAAATTTTAATCTCACTGCTACATGCCATGAACAATACAGTGCACCAACTTACAACAGCATACATATGTGCCTGATAACAGCCACAAGTTGAATGAAATATGCTGTAGTGTTAACGAGCATATAGTGGCAATCTGAATGGTTAATAACAAACCACAAGCCCAGAATATCACTTTTAGAATAGTAAAGATGATGAAAACAGATTTAAATAGAAGAATCACATGCAACACGATGCTACAACACTGAAGAATGATGTACAAATAAATATGGATCCAAGAGGACTGGTCAGGATAAATAATGTCTGCAAGCTGAACACATATGGCTGGTTATTATTTTCTTTAATCTTCATCCATTAACTAGTTAAGTTCAGGCAATTCTCATTTTCAGAATTATAATACACTTTCATATACAATGAGCAACATACAAGTGTGTTCACATACAAAGAGCAACATACAAGTGTGAAGTCTAAACACCACCAAAAATATCAATCACAATTCTGAAAATGGTGGAGAGATGTAGCCCTAAACTAGAATACCATATTGTGGGAAAGATCAAGCTACTATATTTTTTGCATACACATCTAAAATTTTTGCAAAATCAAGTTTCAGAATGGGACACACTTCAAAAGATCCTATAGTATCAGAGACCACAGTCAAGTCTGGCCTTGGACCTACATGCATAAAATTAGAGAAATGTAATTAGACATAGAAGCAGATTAAAAAAGAGAAACATAATGAACTCACTTCAAAATACCCTCTATTATCAGAGACCACAATCATGTCTGGCCTTGGGCATACATGCATACAATAAAATAAACATAATTAGATATAAAAGCAGATTAAAAATGAGAAGCATAATGGACAGAATAATAATCCACAACATTATTATTATTCCAGTTTTCTTTACTAGCATTGCCTTGTGGAGGCATAACCTGTCCAGAAGAGCCTGTTCCAGCAAATAGAGGAGAAGTGACTTATAGCAATCAGTACATTACCTTAATGGTAATAAAAAGACTGTAATTTAAACAAGCAAACCATTCCCTCTACTTCTTTTCAAATATACTGGACAATGCATGCTTTCAAACTGACAAAAATTCACAAAACCAATAAGTTTACACAATGTTTTCATTAGATTACAGGAGGTGACATGTGTGCCTGATAGGTGAACCAAACTGGTATTTTGGAACTGCAAACTTTGTAAAAGTTCAACAAAACAATCACTTTGGAACCCAAAGCCCTTCACAATTTACGAGTACCCTATGACTGTCTGAAACGAGAACTCTGGAACTAGAAGGTTCATAACATGAGCACAGAACTCAACAACAGATCCTGCCTATATCAGTCATATTCAAAATCTGTTATGCACCCAATGACTCACCCAAATGAGCACTCTGAAATAAGAAAGTCCATAACATGACCACAAAACCCAACATATACACTAAATACATAAATTTTGTTCATTTTTTAAAATTTATATATGTTAAAAGATAGATGAAAACTAGCATTTTGGTATGCAAAAGCTCGACATCGAACCCAGTCTACACAAGTTTAGTTCATATGAACCTTTTGCAGTGGTTGACAAACTATGGCCCATAAGTCAGGTGGAAAGTTAAACTTTACATAATCACGATCAAAAACTGTTACCAAAAATACCAAAAATAACACTCACTCTCAATTCACTACTATTAAGTTCATTCAAGACTAACAATCTTTTCAGTTCTGATCCACTACTGCGCTCAGTTCACCAGTCAGATTCACATAATAAGGAAGTCTCCTTGGAGCTATTCAGTGAAGTATATAATGTTTTCCTCTATGAACAGCAATACAAATCAAAATACATTAGGATTATGAACAGTTAATGCAGGAAGCAAACAAGTATAATTTATGTATGACAAGTAATTTATGGAAAGTAAAATTATGTAACTTCATATGCAGGGTTTAAATTAAATATTTGTATACTGCAGAGTGATCGCTCACATATGTAGACATTCTCATTTTAGAGTATGGCTTCCATTATGACCTGAAAAATGTAAATACAGATTTAGCTAACTGAATCAGCTTGCAAGTGGCCCAAATGTACTAGTCCATTAATCACACTTAACCTCTCGCATAACATTCTTATAACAAGAACAAACATTACAGATACAATAATCATTCAAATTATGAAAGAGTAACTTTTTAATTCAAATATCAACTCATGCTTAACTGTAACATACATGGCCTTATACCAACATCCACTGTCCATGAAAACTACTATTTCAGTTTTTAACAATAGGTACAATACAAATACACATTTTTTTTCTTCAGAAGTTCAGAATAATGCTGTGAAGTTCTTCTAAAGTATATATTCAATTATACAGTGTTTACAAATTATACATTAGAAACATAATACTATTAATTTTAAAAAAGGAGAAAATCAGACAATTGGCAAGACCCAAAATGAAACAAGTTCTCACAAGTTATATTTCATTTCGGGAGTTTTCAATACAAACTGACCACAGACTGCCAAATAACAGTCTATTATTCTTAAATTTCTTCTGAGAAATAATAATTATACCTTATTTGCGACTCAACTACTACAAGAACAGCTCAGAGATACTCTCTACATAACTTTAATGGCAGTATGTTAGCAATTCACAAATAAGGCACAAACCAAGAATTAGTATATTAACAGTAAAGGACAGAATACGAAGTGATGGCAAGAAACAATTTTGAAAAAGTAAACTCAATCCAAACACCAACTTGTTCATTCACTGCATCAGTATGGTTGGACACAAGTGGCATGAATTATTGCAACTAAAAGGGCACAAAAATACAGTGATTTATGGAAATGAACTGTACCTTTCTTGTCAAGCTAGGAGTCTCTATGCTCATGTTACATCCCCCTTTCCCAATTTGAATGTGTGTGATCTTTATCTTTGGGAATACAGTTGGATGTTGGAGGACTCCATTTTCAGCAGCTACTGTAAAACTAGACAAGTAAAGTGGCCTCACTGAAAATATCTTTTGAGCACAGATAGAATCTTCATTCAGAATCTTGCACAAGTTCCTGTCTTCTCAGACAGAAGTCACCCACCAGCCAAAATTCCCTTCTATGACCAGGCAGTAACAGCTATTTTTAATGTTTGCATCCTGTTGCATGAGCATAACTATCAATACAAATTCCACCATCAACACAACTATAATTTATTATCGTATGTTCCATTACATGTTTTGGTAGTTTTCCATTAAAACACCTGGGTAAAGTAACCTTAATGACAACTAATGTCATCAATTCTGGCATGGTCACTAACCTCTCTCAATCAAAAGCGTTAAGACGGTAGTTAGCCATATTGGCAGCTTCAGACCAAGCAGCAAACTGTGCACCATCCATTTCTGGAGCCAAACTGTTGTCTGAGAGTAGACTGTGACTAGTCCCACCAATGCGAGCACCACACTCATTACATTTCCCGATCTGCATCGCGCCACCACATTCAGTTATCACATAGATGTGACCATTTGGACATTTGTACCAATGACCCTGTTTCATTCCTATTGCTTTTACAATCTCTTTCCTTTCCTCAAGACTTATTCCACTTACTTTCAGTACCTTAGCGAACTTTTCCTGTAAAGAAAATAAAATACTTCTACAACACATATGTCTGAAATAGGCAAATCAAATTCTTGGTAAATAATTCAGAAAATGTCACAGACAAACAGAATATAAATATTTTTTATTTCTCAGATCATGATTCTTAGCCCTTTGACGTGGTCATTTAAATTCCGCGGCCGCGGCTCCTGCGGTAATATATTCAGCCGGCCATTTAAATTTTGCTCGAAAATTATTTATTCATCATTGTTCTTAAATTCTATGAGATAGGAACATGAAACTTTCACTAAAATGATCTTAAAAGGTGGTTTTATAACCTTACCTTATAATATGA